AAAAACCCGTTACTCCTGAGAGAGCTGAATCTGAGTTTACATGAACTAGGAGACACACGAGTGAATCAGATCGCTGCTCTACTGCAGGATAAACACTGTAAACTCAACACACTGACGTGAGTATCTTACATCATTTAACATGTATTTGATAATACTATTTTCTCATTTGTTTAAGCCAGAGGCGTCACAATGTGAAGTATTAAAATTAAACAGGCCATTAAAAACAAATAATTGTCAAAAAATGACAATTAGCTTTAAAAAGTAGGCCAAGTCACTTAGATCATGGGTCATTATTAATTATTTCAGTTACTGTAGAGGGAGAGCAATGGTTTTCTTACAGAACTTACAAACTCCTCAAAACAAAAATGCAACATTTCAACAATTTAGTGCCTGTTTCAGAACAAAGCAAATTAATAATGTACCAACAGATCGGCCACCAATCTTTATCGGCTGACGTTCAACTTAATCCTTCAGTCCTGCTTAAATTCAGGGACAGTTTTTATTTTTAATTTTAATTTTTTTTATTTCAGCAAGCACACATACAGCACTACTTTAATGAATGAACACTTGATCAGATTAATCGTTGTTATTTTTTTTTGTTCATGTCAGTACACAGTGCGTAATGTTAAGAGATATAACTTTTTATTTGAAAAATGCTGTAGAAGTATTGTTCATCATTAGTTCATATTAACTCGGACGGATTAACGCACGGGCCTACCGGGCACGTGCCCAGGGCACTAGACCAGAGGGGGGCCCAGCCGAAATACTGCTCCTCCAGGAATGCGATTTCAACCGTGCCCCCTCAGGATTTTAAGCAAAGTGGATTTTGAATGCAGCTTCCAAAAGACCAAAAATGGCTGAATAATATATTTTTTATATTTGATACGATTAGAACGTTCAGTGCGGCACAGAATCAGCTGCCAAATTCAAATCTGCGTTCATGCTTTGGTTGGCGCTGAGCCAGACGCGTTTTTACAGTGCTGCGCATTATAACTAATCACACAAGATTCTGTTGAGCTTATGAATGCAATGGCCAATCAGAGGCATTCA